AAAAACACAATAGCCAGCTTCTTTGCCTCGCCAGGAATAGTCAGCCAAATGAAAGTTATGGGAAATAGTTAGTCCGTTGGAGACAAGATTTAAGGACTGTTTCTGTAAAATAGCTAACAAAGGTGTTTTTATTGAGGCCCTTGGAATTGCTCTAACATCAAGTCCATTGTGTTAGATAGAATAGCATATTGAATTAGATGCTCATCTATTCTTCTTTTGCCCTTGCTAAGAATAACATGATGATTCATGAAATGGAGACTCCATCCCGATTCTTTTTCACATCTCAGTATTAAAAATTGGTTACTTATATCTCTTGAACCCAACCCAACTATACTCAATTGGACCACTCCATTCAAAACCCTTACTATTACCACAATCTTGACTATCATAATATGGAGTTGGGGGAACAAAACACATTTTCAATAGACAGGCAGAACTAGATCCTCAAAAGAATCTTTCAACAGGTGTTGCAAAAGTTTTTCAGAAATTCAACACAAATACTTGGGAACATATATGAATCGTTCTTTATCAAAGGAGAGACAAAGGGAGAAAGAAGAAAGAACAGCTCTTAGTGGTGGATGAGAATGAAAGTCCAAATGAGACTTTATTTGATCGGAAAGTTTTAAGATCTAGGTCTGTTGAGCGTGGAATTGCAAGAACTTTTCTAGGGATTTTTAGCGAATCTCAATTGGGTTTAGGAACTGCACGAGTTACAAAGAGGAGGCAAACCCAAGGTGCCCTCTATGAACCATGGTTGAACAGGTGGTGGGCAAGACGACATTAAAGAGAAAGTCAAAACATTTGGTATTGATCCCAAAATGTTTTTGATCGATCCCAAACATAAAGAAACCTCATGGTTGAATAGATCTCATTGTTTGCTGGATGATATCGATATAACAAATTATTTATCGAGAATTTCTGATTTATATTATGCAGTTTAGAACAAATTGTAACATACATGAACAAAACAATAATACATAAACTGCAATAAATAAAATTGATCCGATTGCAAACCGAGAATGGAGATTAGATTTTATAGATCAAGGATAGTGTTTTGATATTATGTCATTAAGACAAATTTCACCCTTACACTGGTACTAATGAAAAACTCTACGTATGTCTTTCAGAATGCAGTGATTTTCACATAATTAGAAGTAGCACTCCAATTAAATTGCACAAAAAACTAGAAATTGTGTTTTGTATTATGAGAAATGTAGACTTTTAATGTTGAAATTATTTATGCAATGACAGACTATTGTTTGCAATGTTAGTGATCCATGCAGAATGAAACTTAATGGGTTTATATGGACAGAATGGTGATTGTTCGGACAACCACCACANCACTGGTACTAATGAAAAACTCTACGTATGCCTTTCAGAATGCAATGATTTTCACATAATTAGAAGTAGCACTCCAATTAAATTGCACAAAAAACTAGAAATTGTGTTTTGTATTCTAAGAAATGTAGACTTTTAATGTTGAAATTATTTATGCAATGACAGACTATTGTTTGCAATGTTAGTGATCCATGCAGAATGAAACTTAATGGGTTTATATGGACAGAATGGTGATTGTTCGGACAACCACCACAGAAATAGAATCAACCCAGAAGACGCATTCATGCTTGCCCACTAATGAACAAACACAAAGTTCAAATTTCATACTTGAGGGATTTTTAAATTTGAACCACTGCAAATTTTGAATTCCAACGAATAAAAATTAAATTTGAGTTAAGAAATTAAAGATCCATTTCGTAAACAAATTTTTTCTAAAAATATGACATTAGATCTAACCCACACATATCATCCAAGCTTGACCGTGGCAGCATGTGCGTGTGGTTGAACCCAAGTCCATACAGGTTCTCATATGTCCACAAAATTGTAGTGCCCATTAGAGGTCAATTCATAGAGCAAACTTGAGATATNACACTGCAAATTTTGAATTCCAACGAATAAAAATTAAATTTGAGTTAAGAAATTAAAGACCCATTTCGTAAACAAATTTTTTCTAAAAATATGACATTAGATCTAACCCACACACATCATCCAAGCTTGACCGTGGCAGCATGTGTGTGTGGTTGAACCCAAGTCCATACAGGTTCTCATCTGTCCACAAAATTGTAGTGCCCATTAGAGGTCAATTCATAGAGCAAACTTGAGATATATATGCTCATCAAATATTTCGTGCCCAACCAATGTGTGATTAATATTATATCCCACTTATCCAACCTCTATTTTCACATCCAATAGGTTTATTTTGAAACTTATTTTTTCATTCACGTTTTACTCGATTTGGGTAAGTTAAAATACTCCATTAAACCCCTCACTGAATAGAATACAAACCCACAAAAATTCACTCAAAACGATTAGGTTCAAAGTCGATCAAAACATTAATTTTTATTTCCAAAAATTTGCTTTAGTCCAAACCCATAGAGTGTTTTGAGAGATTACCTTATTTAGGTTACACTTGCTATTTTTTTGGAGGTGAGATCACCATTTTTTGGTGAAGTCGCTATCTATTGCAGGGCAAAATTATTACTTTTTGGGAGGTTACCATCTTTTGGTGAAGTTATAATTTTTTGAATTAAAATTACCACATTTTTGTAGCATGCTACGGATAGCACTATGGTACTAACATTCTGTTTTTCGGTACCATAAATTCTATCNTAGGTTTATTTTGAAACTTATTTTTTCATTCACGTTTTACTCGATTTGAGTAAGTTAAAATACTCCATTAAACTCCTCACTGAATAGAATACAAACCCACAAAAATTCACTCAAAACGATTAGGTTCAAAGTCGATCAAAACATTAATTTTTATTTCCAAAAATTTGCTTTAGTCCAAACCCATAGAGCGTTTTGAGAAATACCTTATATAGGTTACACTTGCTATTTTTTTGGAGGTGAGATCACCATTTTTTGGTGAAGTCGCTATCTATTGCAGGGCAAAATTATTACTTTTTGGGAGGTTACCATCTTTTGGTGAAGTTATAATTTTTTGAATTAAAATTACCACATTTTTGTAGCATGCTACGGATAGCACTATGGTACTAACATTCTGTTTTTCGGTACCATAAATTCTATCAATTGCAGCTATAACCAAAAGACAAATCAATGTTGTCACTCATTTTTTTAATTGGTTGTGCACCCCATCTGTCTATTTATTTTTGGACAAATTTCATTAACATCTCTTGTATATAAGCATAATTTTAAAAACACCCCTTATGTTTTTTAAAATATTATTGACATCCCTTGTTAGTAATTGTCGTGTAACTGAGTCACAATAAGTGGACAGAAACTGGCCTTTTATGAAATTACCCTTGATAGATCAAATCATTTTATATGTTTAACCTTTACTTATATATATATAAATTTTAGCATGTGTGAAAAATTTTTGATTTCTTATTTTATCCCTAATTATTACAATAAAGTCAATTATATCTACCTANTATATATATAAATTTTAGCATGTGTGAAAATTTTTTGATTTCTTATTTTATCCCTAATTATTACAATAAAGTCAATTATATCTACCTATATACTTTCATCTAAATTTTATTGTTTACAATTATTTGATTTTCAACTTGTTTTGGACTATTTTATAAGGATTTCTAAATTTTTTTAACTCATTTATTAGTAATATAATTACATAAAATTATCTATATCTGTATGAGGAAGTAAAGTCATATATATGTTATGTAGTTATGAGGTTGAATTCCATGGATAAATATATGTTATATTTTATTTTTTGATATGCAATAAAGCGATCTAATTAATCTATTGAACAAAATAAAATTAATAATTTATAATATAATTATATGTGCAAAATGCCTAAAGGGGTCGAAGAAATTCCTAAATAAATGCGTTAGTAATAATTAAAATAGGGATTAATTATTTGGTACCTAATTTATTATTTAATTTAATTACATATATAATTCAAATTTCTTTAAAAAAATAATATTATTTCAATTTATTTATGTGTACGTCGTGCATATCTAGTATTATATGTATATATAGATATGCATATAAATTATTAATGCCTACCTAGTTACCCACCCCATTTTTTTCTCTCCCTCTCCTAATCTCTTTCCTTCTCTTATGCTCGCCTCCACTGCCAATCCTTTATTGCAGCCAACGAGCACACCACAACAATAAAGTTAATAGCCACCACTACAATTCCATTAAACAAACACAAAGTTAACCATACATTTTATCAAATCAACATTACATTTTTACAAATTAATATTCACATTTATCAAATAAGTTTCAATTCATTTAATTAATATTCAATTTTATTAAATTTGTATTAAACTTCATCAAATTATTACTAAATTAATATTCAATTTAATCAAATTAAAACTAAATTAACTATCAGTTGTATCAATTTAACATTCAGTTTTATTAGTTTCACAAAAATTAACATGGAATTGATCTTAAATTCTATCCCATTACCATTTTATTTCATCAAGTTAACATTCAAACTCATCAAATAGATATTCAATTTTATTAAATTAACACCAAATTAACTTGTGATTCTATCTTATTTACATTTGATTCTATCAATTTAACATTCAATTATTTCTTAATTTAATCCTAAATTAACCTTCATTTTCATCGATCATTATTAAATTTTCATTTTATTTTATAAATTAACATTCAATTTCATGAATTGAACAATTAATTTTACTAAACTAATATCATTTCTTTAATTTAACACAAAATTTACTTTCAATTGTATCAAATGAACATTCAATTTTATAAATTTAATGCTTAATTTTATTAAATTAATATTATTTTTTAAATTAAAGCCCAATTAATATTTAATTTTATTAAATTGACATTCATTTTAATTCAATTAATGTTTAGTGTAATCAAATTAATATGGGATGTTGTCCACTAATTTAAGTAGCAAGTGCAATATGGTTAGGGGTAAAATTGATAACTCACAAGAAAAAAAGCCATCACATCACAATTTTTGTTGGTTGTTTGTTTGTAACAACATAGGCGGCAGGGTGTGGTTTGTGAAACGTTATATAAATTACAGGGGTGTCAATAAAATATATCTTAAATCTAAGGGGTGTTACCCTTAATTTTGTGAAGTTGTCCCACAATCAAAAAATCATAAAGAATTTATTAGTAAGAAGCCGGGGACCCTTTGCATCAACCATGCCACTCACGAGTTGAAAATTGAAAGTCACTCTCGCTTCCCATTGGTCGACCTTTTAATCACGCGGATCGCGAGTAAAATAGCCAAGCACCGTCGATTAAACTAAAATCCAACGGTTATAACCAACGCTATCCAGAATTCATATGTCTAAAACCCGTCCAAGACCAATATATAAAAGACCGTGTCAACACAGACCCCTCACGTCTGCCTAAATCGCTCGCTTAGACAATTATTGATCGTCACATCACTTACAGTTTGTAAGGGTTAGAATTGTCATTTTCAGAAGTTTCTGTTTCAGAGCTGAGAGCGATGGAGACTACCGGAAGAGCGAGAAAAGGTGCCGGAGGAAGGAAGGGAGGCGGTCCGAAGAAGAAGCCGGTGTCCCGGTCCGTCAAGGCCGGTCTGCAGTTTCCGGTCGGTAGGATTGGCCGGTATTTGAAGAAGGGTCGCTACTCTCAACGTGTTGGAACTGGTGCTCCCGTTTACTTGGCTGCTGTGCTCGAATACCTTGCTGCTGAAGTAATTTTCACTCTCCATTTCTCTTTGTAAAGTTTTGGATATAGATCTGCGATTATGTGGTGCTTAGATCTTGTTTGGTTCATTCTATCATTCGGGTTTTGCCTGATAGTCGTTATTTTTCTGGATTGGGTTTTTTTTCTTAATGTGTATTTGCTTCTCTTTTCATTGTTTGGTTGCTATCTTTATCTGGATTTTGTTATTTTTTCCTTCCTGATTAGTTCGTAGATAATGTAGGGGGAAAATTGACTTCCTGTTTGCGTTAAATTTATNGATTGGGTTTTTTTTCTTAATGTGTATTTGCTTCTCTTTTCCTTGTTTGGTTGCTATCTTTATCTGGATTTTGTTATTTTTTCCTTCCCGATTAGTTCGTAGATAATGTAGGGGGAAAATTGACTTCCTGTTTGCGTTAAATTTATGGTTCTCTGATTGCGTTTGCTTTGAAATTACTGTTTCATTTTCGTGGAAAGTTGGGATGCTTGAAGGCATTATGTTTCAATTGCGAGAAGAAAACGAAATACTATCCATAATTTTGTTTCTGAAATATGGTTTTTTTCCCGTTATTTTTGTTTGGTTGCTGAGAATGTGTTGATTTTGGGAGTCAATTGAACATGTTTATGTTCACATATGAGATATTATGTTTTCTTTCAATTTCCTCAATGTTCTCTGCTCCTAAACAAACACTAAATCTGACAGAGATTTGTTTGGTTTTACATGCTTATATATCTGAGATTGTCGTTTGGTTGCAGGTATTGGAGTTGGCAGGAAATGCTGCCCGTGACAACAAGAAGAACAGGATCATTCCAAGGCATGTTCTATTGGCGGTGAGGAATGATGAAGAGCTTGGGAAGTTGCTTGCTGGTGTGACCATTGCACATGGTGGAGTCCTGCCCAACATCAACCCTGTTTTGTTGCCAAAGAAGACTAACCAGGCCACCAAGGAACCTAAATCTCCATCTAAGGCTACCAAGTCCCCGAAGAAGGCTGCTGCTTAGATTTGTTCCTTTGTATGTAATTCTTGGTTTAGAACTTGTTTTGTTGATGTTTAGGGAAATTGAAAACGAAAACATTGTAATCGTTAGTTTGATGTTAGGGCACTTCCTATTTGATCACTCAATGAAACCACTTGTTTCTGTTTTCGTCTGGCTGCTTATTAATTTCAGTCCATTCACATATCATACTTTAATTTGGAGGGTTCTGAATTGTGATTTGCTTTTGTTTGGCTGGGTATTAATTCCAGTTTTTTGCTTTGAACTTATTGTAATTTGGTGGATTCTGAATTGTGATTTGCTTTACTTATGGTGCTACTTTTGGTTTTTATTTTGAAATGGTGTGTGATGAAGGAATATATTCTTTACAGTGAAGCCTTCTTTCTCATGTTTAGCTTTTGGTGCTATTAAATTGAAATAGTTTGCTTTTTACTGGTGGGGATGCTTGATGAAACAACTTTTCTCTCACTTGCAATTCTGATGCCTTTCTGGGTGTTTCAATGGATTCTTCTCTTTCCTCCATTAAGGTGAATGTGCAACCTCAACCTCTCTCCCTCTTGGTAGTATTGTTCATTGACATTATTTTATTGACTTTGTGGAGGCAGTTTTCTCATTTTGCATGCAACTAGGTATTTGAGCATGTTGACTAGTATTTTTGGTACTGCAATTAAATGGATCTTGTAAATGGAGAAAGTGTTAACAACANTAGCATACCATGAACTACCATCAACAAACAATGTGGCGAATGCGTTAAATAAAATTGTAAGGGAAAAATGATCATGTGTCCCTGGACACCTATACATTGAATCTAGCATGTATAATTTTGTAAAGTGGGTGGGGGTGACGAAGTTCCATTTGAGGACCAATATTTGCAACAATCCTAACTTGATCGGATNGGGTTAAGCAAGCATTAGTTCTGTGTTTTGATGTATCATCTTGAAAATATTGAATGCCACCTTGACTTTCAGCATTCTGGTGTTTTTTGTTCAANCAAGGGTTAAGCAAGCATTAGTTCTGTGTTTTGATGTATGATCTTGAAAATATTGAATGCCACCTTGACTTTCAGCATTCTGGTGTTTTTTGTTCAATAGATAAAGCTGGCTGAGCCTTATTGATGTGGTTATTACCTTTATCATTGTACATCATTTAGTCTACTATTCATCTCAAAATAGTCTAAATTGCAGCAAGTTTATTGAAATCAAAAGTTGTGACTCAATGCAGGCCGAAGACTATATTCTTGGTACCAGCATTAGAGTACATACAGGTGTGTTCATTGCAAACTTGAAAATGGAAAAAGTTTACCAATCTAATGTTGAAATAAGTCAAAAACCGATCATTTGTTGTATACCAATACTTACTAATAGCTAGGTTTTCAAGTTCATGATTTAAAATGGTACCTAAGATTGTTGTATTTTGTACAATAATAGCAAGTAATATACTCGATCAAGTATAAAAACATAATACCAAAATCTGCTGAAGTTTTCCTTTGCATGGTAAATTAGCTTCATGCAGTATACATTTGTATGATTAAAATGGAGTAGCTCACTGGGCAACGGCAGCAGGGGCTTTTTCAAGCCAATTTTTTTTAGAAGTAAAAAAACTATAAAATTCCCATTTCCATTAAGTTCCCTGTAACTGAACATCTAACACACTTGTACAACCCAAGCACATCATTTGTTTTCACCAGGGCTATTTCATATATGTTATTATTAACCAAAACAACAACAACAATAACAAAAACAACAACGATGAGTTTACGACATAACTTTTTTGGAGTACGGTAACAATAGCGAAATCTCACCAAATGCACCACAATTCAAAACAAGATACGTTGGATGAGTACAAGTTTTGTGCTTGTAAGTTGCATTTTTGGTAAAATCCGGAGGGGGCCTTCAAATGAAGTCCTTGTAACCGTCTCTGCTACAGCTTTGCTTACCCGTTTTCAACTGGATTGTCAGTGTCGGCATACAGCATCTCACTTCACAAACAGCTTTTCCCTGCTCATGAATTTTTATGTTAAATCTACAAGAAAATTAGAAAATAAAACCAAGTTGTGCATTAAACTACACANCCTGCTCATGAATTTTTATGTTAAATCTACAAGAAAATTAGAAAATAAAACCAAGTTGTGCATTAAACTACACTGAAATAATAGTCCGAAAGCCTTACAAATGCATCACATATCTTCCTTTCTTGAGTGCTATGGTGTCCCTTCTCAGTTCAACCTGATCAATGTAGCATTAGTTAGGAGATTTGGGGAAAAAAAATGGAAAATTTCAATCGAAACTCGTTGAAAATTATCTTACCACTTTCTTGCCCAAAAGAACGTTGCATCTCTTACAGAAAACAGCAGTAACTCTGATATCATCACCCTCAATTAGATAGTATTCTAGGCCATTCACTTCCACATTGACACTGCATAAGATATACATTAGTTTCCAAAAATGCTAAATATAAGGCTGATTAAAAGAAAATAGCAAAATTATGCGTTCAAACAGCAATATCATACAGATAAAAGTGAAAAAAATATAAGTCCTTGCCATAATCAAGGTTCAAGTCTTTTTTTCTTTTTGTTTTGGACATGCATATATTGAAGTCATAAACTGTGTCTAATGATGGAAACTTACACTCTTGAAGATGCCAACGTTGGCCATTAAGTCCTGAAAAATATGTGGAAAAAATTGTGAGGACAAAAACATCAACAGGATCTATTATCAATGTAAGATTTGACNTGCCAACGTTGGCCATTAAGTCCTGAAAAATATGTGGAAAAAATTGTGAGGACAAAAACATCAACAGGATCTATTATCAATGTAAGATTTGACGAGGTAAGAAACATAGTACAAAACTGTTCCTGCTCTGACATAATCACCAATTTGGAAAAACCAAAAAGCCTCTATATTCATCTTCTTTAAAGGTTCCTATTTTATATTATACATACATTATATAATATAAAATAAGACATTTTTCAATAAATTTATCCAACAGTTTCAAATAAATTCATCCAACGACTATCAACATCCTTCTCAGAACCATTCAAATTATACCGTGCGTTCAGACATGAATTATCCCTAGCGTGTGTGTGTGTGTGTATATATATATATATATATATATATATATATATGTACATAGTTCAGCTGTGATTATGCCTGTTGGAGTTTATCACTTGAGCATTTGGTAGTTGGATTGCTTGTCTTTATTTTATAGTATTTTCCTCAATTCCTTTGAATGTTTAATAAACTTTTCAATTTTTTTTGACAAGGGGGTTCATGATAATGTGATGGTTAAAAATAGGATTAGATGTGTGTATATAAATTCTTGAACACCTTTTACTTGGAAGTCAATTTTCAGGGTAAATTCTACCAATGAGTTCAAAATAATTGGTATCAGAGCTAACTACTACGTCGAGTATGGAATTGAGCACAGTAGAAACTACGACTTTTTGTGGTTGAATCATAGAAAAGGCGATCTATAGCGCGATTAAGATAACTTGGTATTATATATGAAGATAATGTTATCTCATTGAATATTGATTGGTGAGTGGAGCCGCCAAAGAAAAAGAACTACCATTGGGCCAGTGTCGATAGAGTTGGTTGTCATGGATGTTAGCTACAGAAGCATGGTGGAATATTATGATCTCACATAGGTTATAAATAAGACTATAATGTGTGTATATGAACTCTTAAACATCCTTTACTTACAAACCTATTTTCAGGGCGTAACATATAACCTTGAATGGAACCATGAAGAACAAATTTGCACTATTGTCATCAATATATATATTCTAGCTTGAAAGATGAATGTAACAATGAATAACAGTAATTTGACCACTTATATAAGTTAATAAATAGAAGTAAAAATAATTAACTTCTAGTTTTAATAAACACTTTTAAGAAATTATTTCTCATTTTCACCTCACTCCTCGATACCACTCTGCCAAAAGCTGATCCAACTATGTCGGTGCCTCTTGTCATGTAGCCACTCTCATCTCGCCCTCATCGTCGACGTGACGACGATGTGTTATCCCATCTTACTGACTGACGATGACACTACCTTTTGTCTCGTTGATCGCCGACGACCCTGGAGTAGTCTCTATCTATCACTGATTTTTGTGGTATCGTTGATCTAACCAAATACCTTCAAACAAGATACACCATCTTCTTCTTAACTAATTTTATGACATCTGTTGCAACTATTGGTAAAAGAAAAACACTATTTGTAGAAAATGTAGTAAAGAACTTACCTCGCCACACACACAAACAGAGAGAGAGAGAGAGTTAATCATATAGAGATATTTTGTAAATGAATTACTAAACTCATTTAGGTGCTTGTATACCATTTTTTTTTTTGATCGTAGCTTGTACACCATTTAAATGTCAAAGAAAAGTAAAAATACTTATCTAGCAAAAGTAACTTAGGAATCCAAAAGAAATAAAGAAGTTATACAATGCTACTAGAATGAAATCCATTCAATGCACCAAACATTTTTTCAGTAATGCTACACTAATTAAATTTTGGGTTCAAATTAAGAGTTCAAATGACATGACAACTGACTTGGGCTTATTTATTTGATGTTATGTCATTTGGGCCCCAATAAAAATTCTAAATAATATGTTGTCATGTCATTTGGGCTCTTAATTTGGTCAGCATAACATTACTCATTTTTTTTCTCGTAAATAAATGAAACTTTTATAGATATGAAAAATAAGCTTTACACGAAATGAAGAAAGTATAAAGAAAACCCTTTCTTATATACTATTTTTTTTCAACAACAGTGCACAATCAATAAAAAGATGTAACGGAAAACTTTTAATGAAAAAGCGAATGTTAATCAGGTATATTTTAATGATTTCGTTGTGTTGCCTTTAACTTTGATGTGTAATGAAAAAATTTTATTGAAAAAATAGAATCCTAGTCAAGTATATTTTAATGTTTTTTTTTGTATTGTCATTGACTTCGTATTCTGAGTATTAAATAAAAATACATTCGTTATAACAAAAAAGATAAAAATTAAAATAAAAAATTTCAAATATTTAGAAACTTGAAATGCAGCAAAGCATAAATGCCCTATGCCTCTTGAGATTTTAGAGACTTTGGTCAGAATTTGTTGAGTGACGTCACAAAAAATTTAATATAAAGATGTAAAGGAAAACTTTTACTGAAAAAAGATGAATCATAATTAGAAATATTTCAGTTATTTTTTCGTGTTGTCATTAACGTTGCATTCTTGTTATTAAATAAAAGTACACCTATTATAACAAGCTAGATAAAAATGTAAGCTATCAAATTTTAAATAAATT